TTGGATCTCAACCCATAACTGCTCCTGGTAAGGACACAACTGAGGTACAAGTATGAGATCTTTGGATCTCAACCCGTAACTGCTTCTAGTAGGGACACAACTGAGGTACAAGTATGAGATCTTTGGATCTCAACCCGTAACTGCTCCTGGTAAGGACACAACTGAGGTACAAGTATGAGATCTTTGGATCTCAACCCATAACTGCTCCTGGTAAGGACACAACTGAGGTACAAGTATGAGATCTTTGGATCTCAACCCGTAACTGCTCCTGGTAAGGACACAACTGAGGTACAAGTATGAGATCTTTGGATCTCAACCCGTAACTGCTCCCGGTAAGGACACAACTGAGGTACAAGTATGAGATCTTTGGATCTCAACCCGTAACTGCTCCTGGTAAGGACACAACTGAGGTACAAGTATGAGATCTTTGGATCTCAACCCGTAACTGCTCCTGGTAAGGACACAACTGAGGTACAAGTATGAGATCTTTGGATCTCAACCCATAACTGCTCCCGGTAAGGACACAACTGAGGTACAAGTATGAGATCTTTGGATCTCAACCCATAACTGCTCCTGGTAAGGACAGCACCAAGGTACAAGTATGAGATCTTTGGATCTCAACCAGTAACTGCTCCCAGTAGGGACACAACTGAGGTACAAGTATGAGATCTTTGGATCTCAACCTGTAACTGCTTCTAGTAGGGACACAAGTATGAGATCTTTGGATCTCAACCCATAACTGCTCCCAGTATGGACACAACTAAGGTACAAGAATGAGATCTTTGGATCTCAACCCATAACTGCTCCTGGTAAGGACAGCACCAAGGTACAAGTATGAGATCTTTGGATCTCAACCCATAAGGACACCACTTAGGTACAGAAAAATACATTAACTAAAATGATACCATGAATGACACTTTATACAACATTAAGAATCTAACAATAACAAACAATTATTATTAGAGCAGTTCCATCAGATATGACTGCATTAAGATATAAATGATATCCATATTTGACTGGTATTCCATGCCAGTATTTCTTCTTTTCTTGCATTTGACCATAACAAGTGCCACTGTCTGGGTGGGCTGTAAAACAAGTGTCACTGCCTGGGTGGGCTGTGAAACAAGTGCCACTGTCTGGGTGGGCTGTGAAACAAGTGTCACTGTCTGGGTGGGCTGTGAAACAAGTGTCTCTGTCTGGGTGGGCTGTGTCCCTGCACAAATATTGGTTCTCAGACTGACTGACTATTCTCATCTTAGATGTTAATACAAAAGGACAAATCCCAGGTACCCGATTCAATCTCCTAGGGAGTTATAGTTAGGGCAGCTGTAGTGGTTACACCGACTCCTACCCTGGTTTACTTTGTTGTCTTGTGCCTGTAAGGTTTTGAATGTGGCCATAAAGAATTCATGCCTAATCCATGTGAAATGAGACTACCCTCACTTCTTTTCCCATGACTCCATCTTGAGATGGCTGAGTGGCTTGTGTGTCCACTAATCCCAATAGGTATGTCAACAGTAGTGAGGTCACTGACTGTCCTTGACCTGCGACAGGTAAGACATTCAGCTGACTGTCTGACACCTGCGACAGGTAAGACATTCAGCTGGCTGTCTGACACCTGCGACAGGTAAGACATTCAGCTGACTGTCTGACACCTGCGACAGGTAAGACATTCAGCTGACTGTCTGACACCTGCGACAGGTAAGACATTCAGCTGACTGTCTGACACCTGCGACAGGTAAGACATTCAGCTGACTGTCTGACACCTGCGACAGGTAAGACATTCAGCTGACTGTCTGACACCTGCGACAGGTAAGACATTCAGCTGACTGTCTGACACCTGCGACAGGTAAGACATTCAGCTGGCTGTCTGACACCTGCGACAGGTAAGACATTCAGCTGACTGTCTGACACCTGCGACAGGTAAGACATTCAGCTGACTGTCTGACACCTGCGACAGGTAAGACATTCAGCTGACTGTCTGACACCTGCGACAGGTAAGACATTCAGCTGACTGTCTGACACCTGCGACAGGTAAGACATTCAGCTGACTGTCTGACACCTGCGACAGGTAAGACATTCAGAAAGAGAGGCACATACTTGCTGCTGACAGGTATCCAGTGAACAGACGACGCCCAGAAAAACAAAATAGATAATGACATCTGAGCAACAGATTTTTCAAAGATGTGTAACCAAATTTGTTCCATGAAGATGAAAACAAAATAATGTGTTTTATGAGGATGACATGCAACATGATTTGTTTTAATAAAATGAAATTCAATACATTTACTTTTACAACTATGGAACTGGTATATTATAGACATAAACAATAAAAAAAACTGTTCAGTGTCAATTGTAAAACACTTCTCTCAATAGAAACTATGAACAAGGACGGATGACTTTTCTTTGGTACTGAGACAAAAATGTTAACCCTTTCGTCCTAGAAAAACTGGTGATCTGCTATTACACATTAGTGATGACATGAATTCAGTGTTTTCACAACTACACCCAAATAACAGCTTTGGTCCTGGTTGCAACTACACAGTGTGTCAACGGTCCTGGTTGCAACTACACAGTGTGTCAACGGTCCTGGTTGCAACTACACAGTGTGTCAACGGTCCTGGTTGCAACTACACAGTGTGTCAACAGTCCTGGTTGCAACTACACAGTGTGTCAACAGTCCTGGTTGCAACTACACAGTGTGTCAACAAGCTGCATATGATGTTACTTGAAAAAAAACATCTTTCTTTTGTTTAAATCTTTTTTTTTTTCAGACACTGTTTGGGATTGAAAATGTTTGGTCATCATAAACTCATAATAAGCTGATAATGACATCACTTTGTTTCCTCTAGCTGTGTCCACAACATCTCCATTGTTTCCTCCAGCTGTGTCCACAACATCTCCATTGTTTCCTCTAGCTGTGTCCACAACATCTCCATTGTTTCCTCTAGCTGTGTCCACAACATCTCCATTGTTTCCTCCAGCTGTGTCCACAACATCTCCATTGTTTCCTCCAGCTGTGTCCACAACATCTCCATTGTTTCCTCCAGCTGTGTCCACAACATCTCCATTGTTTCCTCTAGCTGTGTCCACAACATCTCCATTGTTTCCTCTAGCTGTGTCCACAACATCTCCATTGTTTCCTCTAGCTGTGTCCACAACATCTCCATTGTTTCCTCTAGCTGTGTCCACAACATCTCCATTGTTTCCTCTAGCTGTGTCCACAACATCTCCATTGTTTCCTCTAGCTGTGTCCACAACATCTCCATTGTTTCCTCTAGCTGTGTCCACAACATCTCCATTGTTTCCTCTAGCTGTGTCCACAACATCTCCATTGTTTCCTCTAGCTGTGTCCACAACATCTCCATTGTTTCCTCTAGCTGTGTCCACAACATCTCCATTGTTTCCTCTAGCTGTGTCCACAACATCTCCATTGTTTCCTCCAGCTGTGTCCACAACATCTCCATTGTTTCCTCCAGCTGTGTCCACAACATCTCCATTGTTTCCTCTAGCTGTGTCCACAACATCTCCATTGTTTCCTCTAGCTGTGTCCACAACATCTCCATTGTTTCCTCTAGCTGTGTCCACAACATCTCCATTGTTTCCTCTAGCTGTGTCCACAACATCTCCATTGTTTCCTCCAGCTGTGTCCACAACATCTCCATTGTTTCCTCTAGCTGTGTCCACAACATCTCCATTGTTTCCTCTAGCTGTGTCCACAACATCTCCATTGTTTCCTCCAGCTGTGTCCACAACATCTCCATTGTTTCCTCTAGCTGTGTCCACAACATCTCCATTGTTTCCTCTAGCTGTGTCCACAACATCTCCATTGTTTCCTCTAGCTGTGTCCACAACATCTCCATTCTCAGGGTCAACTGGAGTAAAAGCAGTTAATTCTTTGCCCCCTTTGTATTTAGTGATTACATCCCATACCAGAAAGCAGATTATCTAAGTTGCAAAATTAAAAAACAAAAATCAAAAAGAATCTGTTAAGTCTCTTGCTGGCCATGGTGACACAATAGCTAGCAGGCTTGCCCGTCTGCCTGGTGGTCAAAAGTTTCAACCCCTTGGGTTTCACAAAATAAAAACTGACCAAGACTCCAAATGTCTTCAGCTTCTTCTTCTCTTCTTCTAGTGTCTCAGGGACAAAATGATAACTTAGGGAAGAGTTTCACACAATGATAACTTAGGGAAGAGTTTCACACAATGATAACTTAGGGAAAGAGTTTCACACAATGATAACTTAGGGAAGAGTTTCACACAATGATAACTTAGAGAAGAGTTTCACACCATGATAACTTAGGGAAGAGTTTCACACAATGATAACTTAGGGAAGAGTTTCACACAGTGATAACTTAGGGAAGAGTTTCACACAATGATAACTTAGGGAAGAGTTTCACACAATGATAACTTAGGGAAGAGTTTCACACAATGAAAACTTAGAGAAGAGTTTTTTCACACAATGATAACTTAGGGAAGAGTTTCACACAATGATAATTTAGGGAAGAGTTTCACACAATGATACCTTAGGGAAGAGTTTCACACAATGATACCTTAGGGAAGAGTTTCACACAGTGATAACTTAGGGAAGAGTTTCACACAATGAAAACTTAGAGAAGAGTTTCACACAATGATAACTTAGGGAAGAGTTTCACACAATGATAACTTAGGGAAGAGTCTCACACAGTGATAACTTAGGGAAGAGTTTCACACAATGATAACTTAGGGAAGAGTTTCACATAATGATAACTTAGGGAAGAGTTTCACACAATGATAACTTAATGAAGAGTTTCACACAATGATAACTCAGGAAAGAGTTTCACACAATGATAACGATGCATTTGTTTTTAACAACATTTTGGAAAAGGTAATTTTGTACCATCTCATGAGGCTTTGGTGGTGGATGCAAACAAAGTAACAAATAAGGCTACAATTACAAGAAGATGTAGACTGGACTATCTCCAGGAACATTTGACGTGCATGGTCGGATCCAGATGCTGTCACAAGAGGTCGTCCTCTAACTGTCTCATCAAATCCAGCTCCGACTGGTTATACTGTGGAAGCTGTTTGACCCTGAAATATAGTTTGTTTGTTCTGCAATTAGGACACATGCCAGGAAAGTTAGCTTCTTGGTAGTGTGGCCTCAAGACTGAGTGCTGTTGTATTATCTTGAGAGATGTCCTGTTACAATGAGAGATGTCCTGTTACAAGGAGAGATGTTCTGTTACACTGAGAGATGTTCTGTTACACTGAGAGATGTTCTGTTACAATGAGAGATGTTCTGTTACACTGAGAGATGTTCTGTTACACTGAGAGATGTTCTCTTTACAATGAGAGATGCTCTATTACAACAGAGATGAGAGAGATGTTCTGTTACACTGAGAGATGTTCTGTTACACTGAGAGATGTTCTGTTACACTGAGAGATGTTCTGTTACACTGAGAGATGTTCTGTTACACTGAGAGATGTTCTGTTACACTGAGAGATGTTCTGTTACAATGAGAGATGTTCTCTTACAATGAGAGATGCTCTATTACAATGAGAGATGTTCTCTTACAATGAGATGTTCTCTGTGTTCTCTTACAATGAGAGATGTTCTCTTACAATGAGAGATGTTCTATTACAATGAGAGATGTTCTCTTACAATGAGAGATGTTCTCTTACAATGAGAGATGTTCTCTTACAATGAGAGATGTTCTCTTACAATGAGAGATGTTCTCTTACAATGAGAGATGTTCTATTACAATGAGAGATGTTCTATTACAATGAGAGATGTTCTGTTACACTGAGAGATGTTCTGTTACAATGAGAGATGTTGTTACAATGAGAGATGTTGTTACAATGAGAGATGTTCTGTTACACTGAGAGATGTTCTGTTACACTGAGAGATGTTCTGCTACAATGAGAGATGTTGTTACAATGAGAGATGTTGTTACAATGAGAGATGTTCTGTTACACTGAGAGATGTTCTGCTACAATGAGAGATGTTGTTACAATGAGAGATGTTCTCTTACAATGAGAGATGTTCTCTTACAATGAGAGATGCTCTATTACAATGAGAAATGTTCTCTTACAATGAGAGATGTTCTCTTACAATGAGAGATGTTCTCTTACAATGAGAGATGTTCTCTTACAATGAGAGATGTTCTCTTACAATGAGAGATGTTCTCTTACAATGAGAGATGTTCTCTTACAATGAGAGATGTTCTCTTACAATGAGAGATGTTCTCTTACAATTGTTCTCTTACAATGAGAGATGTTCTCTTACAATGAGAGAGATGTTCTCTTACAATGAGAGATGTTCTCTTACAATGAGAGATGTTCTCTTACAATGAGAGATGTTCTCTTACAATGAGAGATGTTCTCTTACAATGAGAGATGTTCTCTTACAATGAGAGATGTTCTCTTACAATGAGAGATGTTCTCTTACAATGAGAGATGTTCTCTTACAATGAGAGATGTTCTCTTACAATGAGAGATGTTCTCTTACAATGAGAGATGCTCTCTTACAATGAGAGATGTTCTCTTACAATGAGAGATGTTCTCTTACAATGAGAGATGTTCTATTACAATGAGAGATGTTCTCTTACAATGAGAGATGTTCTCTTACAATGAGAGATGCTCTATTACAATGAGAGATGTTCTATTACAATGAGAGATGTTCTCTTACAATGAGAGATGTTCTCTTACAATGAGAGATGTTCTATTACAATGAGAGATGTTCTCTTACAATGAGAGATGCTCTATTACAATGAGAGATGTTCTCTTACAATGAGAGATGTTCTCTTACAATGAGAGATGCTCTATTACAATGAGAGATGCTCTATTACAATGAGAGATGTTCTATTACAATGAGAGATGTTCTCTTACAATGAGAGATGTTCTCTTACAATGAGAGATGTTCTCTTACAATGAGAGATGTTCTCTTACAATGAGAGATGTTCTATTACAATGAGAGATGTTCTATTACAATGAGAGATGTTCTATTACAATGAGAGATGTTCTATTACAATGAGAGATGTTCTATTACAATGAGAGATGTTCTCTTACAATGAGAGATGTTCTCTTACAATGAGAGATGCTCTATTACAATGAGAGATGTTCTATTACAATGAGAGATGCTCTATTACAATAAGAGATGTTTACAATGATAGATGTTCTTTTACAATAAAATATGTTCTATTACACCAACATAGCTCTTCATATTTCTGACCTATACAGCTCTCCATATTTCTGACCTATGCAGTGCTCCATGTTTCTGACCTATACAGCTCTCCATATTTCTGACCTATGCAGTGCTCCATGTTTCTGACCTATGCAGTGCTTCATGTTTCTGACCTATGCAGTGCTCCATGTTTCTGACCTATACAGCTCTTCGTGTGGGTTCCAGGGCCCCACTAGCAAGCAGGTCATAACAGGCAACTAATCAGTGTGTTTTTTTCCTCTTTGAAACTGGAGTGTATTTGCGTGACAGGCAAGAAACCAACAGTATGAAGACATGTAAAACGGATGTGCATGCAAAGCTTGAAGTTCTTTTTCTTTATGTCCAACAGCTGTACACGTTGAAGGAAAATTCTGGTTGTTCGTCAATTTCTGGACTTAAGTCTTGTTCCAAAAATTTTCAGAAGTGGACGAATAACTAGACATTTCTGCTGGAGTTTGCATTCAGTGGATGCAAAGAAGAAAGAAGACCTATAAAGCAGCGATGATCTGAGGTTAGATTTCAATGTACTGTTTGGTGCTAGCTATAATTTACTGGAGGAGCATCAGCCCGACAACGTCTATACAAAGATAATTGTGTTGATAATATTTCTAGAAGACAACTAACAATGGCCTCACAACTTACACAGACATATTTTCCTGGGTGTTTAGCCCCAGGTCATCCAGGTAATGTCCCGTTGATTTATGGAGGTCATGCTGAGTCTTGACACCTGTAAAAGTAAAATAATGAATTGACTAAACATATTCTGTATGCAGACTGTTAGACTATGCTCTGACTGAGTGTGTATAAATTCCTTGCTCCACATCCGCAGCAGCCATAACCTTTAGAGCATGAAGTCTTACGATAACTGCATCAACATGGTCTTTGAAAGACAGTCCTCTGTCAAATGTAGCACATCAATGTTTCAGTGTGTTTTCTCTTCTGGCCACTTTCTATTTATTGTGATCTTGGGGACATCTGCCTTGACAATTCTTCTAAATGGGTTGAACATGGACAATCTTCGATGCCAAAGTTAAACACGGACAATCTTCGATATGAGAGTTAAACAAGAGAACAAAATATAAACAGTCTGCTACGAGGGTTAAACCTAAGAGAACAAAATATAAACAGTCTGCTACGAGGGTTAAACTAAGAGAACAAAGCAGACAATCTCTGATGTGAAGGTTAAACATAGACAACATCTGATGTCTGGGTTAAACATAACATGACAAAATGCTGACAGTCGCTGTGTGCAGACGACACAGTACTGATGTCAAAGAACAAACATCTGAGGAATCATTAAAAAAATACATCTCATGATGACGATGGCTCTAAATGACAAATCGTAAGTTATTTTCTTCCAAACCTTTGCTATCGCATGCAGCTCACCTTATCCTTCCTATCTTTCTAATTTAACACTCCAGTTTGTGTGCATTTTTTTGGGTCTGTCTTAATTGCTACACCCCTGTGGATACCCTTCTAGTTATATTGTTGTCGAATTTTCTCAGCATGTGTCCTGCCCAATGCCAGTGTGTTCTCTTCACCTCTTGGTTCATGGAATTTGCTTAGGTCTCTCCAAAGCTCCACATTAGTAATTCTATCACACCATTTAATTCTCTCTATTTGGCGCAGGCACCAGTTAATGAAGGTTTGTAGTTTATTAGCAAACATCAATTACTCTTGAATTATGGGAACATCATAGGCTTCTTTGCTCTACATACTGCATTAGGATGTTATGACAAGGTGTTAAACATCCTAGAGAACACCAAGTTCTGGGCCACTCATTAGTTACACTGAAAAACATAGATACTTGTTAGAGTCTTACCTTGAGAGCCTGATGTGTACACATCTGTCATGAAGCCCTGGACAACAACAGTTATAGAAAGACAAGATTATAATTTGTTCTACTTGTGACTCCATTAAAGAAAGAGTTTATGACTCCAACATAACATAATTTATGACTTCATTAAAACAGGTGATTGTTGTGACTTTATTATGACAGGTGACTGTTGTGACTTCATTAGAGCATGTGTGTGATGTCATAATAACAGGTTATTGTTGTAACTTTATTAGAGCATGTGTGTGATGTCATAATAACAGGTTATTGTTGTGACTTCATTACAACAGGTGATTGTGTGTGATGTCATAATAACAGGTTATTGTTGTGACTTTATTATGACAGGTGACTGTTGTGACTTCATTAGAGCATGTGTGTGATGTCATAATAACAGGTTATTGTTGTGACTTTATTATGACAGGTGACTGTTGTGACTTCATTAGAGCATGTGTGTGATGTCATAATAACAGGTTATTGTTGTGACTTTATTATGACAGGTGACTGTTGTGACTTCATTAGAGCATGTGTGTGATGTCATAATAACAGGTTATTGTTGTGAATTCATTACAACAGGTGATTGTGTGTGATGTCATAATAACAGGTTATTGTTGTTTAACTTCATTATAACAGGTGATTTTGTGTGATGTCATAATAACAGGTTATTGTTGTGACTTTATTATAACAGGTGATTGTGTGTGATGTCATAATAACAGGTTATTGTTGTGACTTCATTACAACAGGTGATTGTGTGTGATGTCATAATAACAGGTTATTGTTGTTTAACTTCATTATAACAGGTGATTGTGTGTGATGTCATAATAACAGGTTATTGTTGTGACTTCATTACAACAGGTGATTGTGTGTGATGTCATAATAACAGGTTATTGTTGTGACTTTATTACAACAGGTGATTGTGTGTGATGTCATAATAACAGTTGATTGTTGTAACTTTGTTATAAAGGTGACTGTTGTGACTTCATTATAACAAGTGATTGTTGTGACTTTATTTTACAGGTAAATATTGTGACTTCCTTACAACAGGTGATTGTGTGTGATGTCATAATAACAGGTGATTGTTGTAACTTCATTATAACAGGTAATTGTGTGTGACATCATTATAACATGTGACTGTTGTGACTTCACTATCACAGAGGATTGTTGTGGCTTCATAACAATATGTGACTCTTGTGACTTAATTATTAAGGGGCTTTTTGTCACTGTATGATAAATGAGACTTGTTGTGGCTTCGTTATAATAGGAGTTGTGATGTATGTTATAAAAAAGCTCGTTATGACGTCATTAAAACAGAGGCTTGCTATAACATAAAACAAGACGCACTTGAAGCTTTGTAACTACACAATATGAGGGACTATTTTAAACAAGGTTTCTGACATCAGAACATTTGCAAGCTAGGTGTAACAAAGACATGTGACTCCATTTTTGTGACTCCATTATAACAGTAGGTTGGGACTCCATTATAACATTAGGTTGTGACTCCATTATAACCAAAGGCTGTGACTCCATTATAACATTAGGTTGTGACTCCATTATAACATTAGGTTGTGACTCCATTATAACATTAGGTTGTGACTCCATTATAACAGAAGGTTGTGACTCCATTATAACAGAAGGATGTGACTCCAATATATCCATAGGTTATGACTCCATTATAACAGTAGGTTGTGACTCCATTATAACAGTAGGTTGTGACTCCATTATAACAGTAGGTTGTGACTCCATTATAACAGTAGGTTGTGATTCCATTATAACAGTAGGTTGTGACTCCATTATAACAGAAGGTTGTGACTCCATTATAACAGTAGGTTGTGACTCCATTATAACAGGTGGTTGTGACTCCATTATAACAGTAGGTTTGTGTGACTCCATTATAACAGTAGTTGTGATTCCATTATAACAGAAGGTTGTGACTCCATTATCACAGAGTTTGTTGTGACTTCATATTATATGTGAAGGTTGTGACTCTTATATTAGAAGGTTGTGATTCTATTTGTCACTGTATGATCCATGAGACTTGTTGTGACTCCATTATAACAGTAGTTGTGATCCATTATAACCAAAGGTTGTGACTCCATTAAAACCAAAGGTTATGACGTCCATTATAACAGAGGCTGTGATTCCATTAACTTAAAACAAGATGGACTCCATTAGCTTTGTGACTCTTCAGCAGGAGGTTGTGACTCCAGTTAAACATAGGTTGTGACTCCTGACATCAGACTCCATTATAACCAAAGGTTGTGACTCCATTATAACCAAAGGTTGTGATTCCATTATAACAGTAGGTTGTGATTCCATTATAACAGTAGGTTGTGACTCCATTATAACAGAAGGTTGTGACTCCATTATAGCAGGAGGTTGTGACTCCAGTATAACCATAGGTTGTGACTCCATTATAACAGTAGGTTGTGACTCCATTATAACAGTAGGTTGTGACTCCATTATAACCAAAGGTTGTGACTCCATTATAACAGTAGATTGTGACTCCATTATAACAGTAGGTTGTGACTCCATTATAACCAAAGGTTGTGACTCCATTATAACAGTAGGTTGTGATTCCATTAAAACAGTAAGTTGTGACTCCATTATAACCATAGGTTGTGACTCCATTATAACAGAAGGATGTGACTCCAATATAACCATAGGTTGTGACTCCATTATAACAGTAGGTTGTGACTCCATTATAACAGAAGGTTGTGACTCCATTATAACAGAAGGATGTGACTCCAATATAACCATAGGTTGTGACTCCATTATCCCAGTAGGTTGTGACTCCATTATAGCAGGAGGTTGTGACTCCATTATAACAATAGGGTATGACTCTTCTTATTACTACTCAGCTATAATTAAACAGCTAAAACTATCTATATGCTTACAGCCACTTCACTCATCCACTTAGGAAGAGAACAAGAGAAAAGACAGAAAGAAAGAGATTGAGAGAAGGAGAATGAAAGAGGGAAGAAGAGAGGAGGGAGAACAAGAAAACAAAGGAATGGGAGAAAAAGAAATAATGAGAAACGAAGGGAAGGAAGACAGAGGGGTTGGCCAGGGGCAACACCTGTAGATAAGGTGACAAAGAGGACACACACAAATAAGGCTACATCAAGTTGAATGAAACTATCCAGGAAGTTAACCCGATCAACAAATGCTTTATGAAGTCTATTGTGTCGGCCGAAACACACAAATATGGCAGCTTTGATGCAAACAAGACAATGCAACTATCTCACTTAGATGAACAAAAAGAAGATAATCAAAGCAGTGTTTTCCCGATGTGAATTTGAACAAAGAGGACACAAACAATAGACTGCACAATTTATTGCCTGGCCTATTTCGCTGTATCTCTTCAGGTGCATACTACAGTAACAATTGATTAAAATGAAGCAAATAACTGAATCCTAGAAACTGAAACACAAATTCGAGTACATTCTAAACTGTCTGTTTCACCAAGGTAACCATAAGGAAAATGACCATTTCTTTCTGGCTACAGAGATCTGGTTTCAACCGGCTGATTGTGGAAGCTTCCACGTATCGGAGTAATCTACAGTTGGCCAAATTGTAAATAATTCGAAATGCATCATCCCTGTTAATGATGTGCCCAGAAAGAGAAAAAGAAAATGAAAAAGGATAAGCACGGAAATGTAGATAAGTTCCAACCAATACATGCTCTGGTCATGACGCCCTACCACCATGTGTGGTTCAACCCTGGGATGGTCATGGCGCCCCACCACCATGTGTGGTTCAATGCCGGGATGGTCATGGCGCCCCACCACCACGTGTGGTTCAACCCTGGGATGGTCATGGCGCCCCACCACCATGTGTGGTTCAACCCTGGGATGGTCATGGCACCCCACCACCATGTGTGGTTCAACCCTGGGATGGTCATGGTGCCCCACCACCATGTGTGGTTCAACCCTGGGATGGTCATGGCGCCCCACCACCACGTGTGGTTCAACCCTGGGATGGTCATGGCGCCCCACCACCATGTGTGGTTCAACGCCGGGATGGTCATGGCGCCCCACCACCATGTGTGGTTCAACATCGCGACACACTGGATGGCATGAAAGAACCTTTCTGACACCTTGGGGCACATGGAGTCTACAAAGTTAGCCTCTTGATCTTACAAACGAATCAGCACTTGAAGGTGATGTGGCCAATCTCAGGCTGACTACCTTGACTTCGCAAGACACTTCCTGGTACCTATCTGGCTGGTGAAGAAAAGATTTGAACCCATAACCTTGAGAACACTGGACACACAGTATAACCACTTCATGGTAAAGATGACACTGAGAAGTAAACACATAGCAATACTGAAAAAGTGAAATGATATTTCAAGTTCTCACGCTTCCTCTGTTAACTGCCCGGTACTTGCTGGCATCAAATCCTGTCTGTAATTTTCCCTGGCACAGATTAGATAAGGAAAATATAGTATCAAAATACAGAGATATTATTTGTTATCTTTGTTATTATCTATTATGTTTTTTTTATTATTAACATGTAAATCACTAGAATCATCTACATAATGATCATCACAATCAACCAAGGAGCAATCACCATCATCTATTTCTTCTATCATTTATTCCCCAGTTTCAGCCCAGAACCTCAAACAACAACTGCTGTTTTGTCCCATTATTTGCCACTTCATTCAATTAATTCTGTGTTCTCCCCATGCACTATGCAACAGAACTTGGGGAATCTAGGCACCAGAACTTGGGGACACTAGGCACCGGAACTTGGGGACACTAGGCACCGGAACTTGGGGACACTAGGCACCAGAACTTGGGGACCCTAGGCACCAGAACTTGGGGACACTAGGCACCAGAACTTGGGGACACTAGGCACCAGAACTTGGGGACCCTAGGCACCAGAACTTGGGGACACTAGGCACCAGAACTTGGGGACACTAGGCACCAGAACTTGGGGACACTAGGCACCAGAACTTGGGACACTAGGCACCAGAACTTGGGGACACTAGGCACCGGAACTTGGGGACACTAGGCACCAGAACTTGGGGACACTAGGCACCAGAACTTGGGGACACTAGGCACCGGAACTTGGGGACTCTAGGCACCAGAACTTGGGGACACTAGGCACCAGAACTTGGGGACACTAGGCACCAGAACTTGGGGACACTAGGCACCAGAACTTGGGGACACTAGGCACCAGAACTTGAGGACACTAGGCACCAGAACTTGGGGACACTAGGCACCAGAACTTAGGGACATTAGGCACCGGAACTTGTGTGCTCAGATCTCTTGAGTCCCTCACCTCAGAAAAAACAAAACAAATTTGTTTAGAGAGTTCTGAGTTTCTCCCAATAATTTTAACGAGCAATCAACAGTCTGCCTCAAGTAAGTCAGGTCTGTAAAACAGATGTGCACACACAATTCAGGTTCGGGAAAAAGACTAAAGTCCATAAGTGGACAAACAGACAGAACTTTCTGCCAGAGTTTACAGCAGTGAACATGAAGAAGAAGTTTGTGGTCCAACACTCGGTTACTCACTATCACAGGGTATTGTCATTCCGTATGGATATATCATGTCTTTAATATCATCAATCCATCCTCTGCTTGTGCGCCTTCTTGCTCTCGTATCAGAACATCTGAAGTTATCCCCTGTATTGGTAGTTGTTGTGTCTGCATTCCAGCAAGATGACTCAACAATCTTTATCTTCTGCTTCTCAATGAATCTGGTGCAAGGTGTTTTTACAGTCTGTCTGATAGTATCATTTCTCACTCTGTCTCAGATCTGGTGCAAAGTGTTGTTTTCACAGTCTGTCTGATAGTATCATTTCTTACTCTGTCTCAAATCTGGTGCAATGTGTTTTTTTTTTAATAGTCTGTCTGATAGTATCATTTCCCACTCTGTCTCAAATCTGGTGCAAGGTGTTGTTTTACAGTCTGTCTGATAGTATCATTTCCCACTGTCTCAGATCTGGTGCATTGTGTTGTTTTTACAGTCTGTCTGATAGTATCATTTCCCACTCTGTCTCAAATCTGACACATTGTGTTGTTTTTACAGTCTGTCTAATAGTATCAATTCCCACTGTCTCAGATCTGGCGCATTGTGTTGTTTTTACAGTCTGTCTGATAGTATCATTTCCCACTCTGTCTCAAATCTGGTGCAAGGTGTTGTTTTTACAGTCTGTCTGATAGTATCAATTCCCACTGTCTCAAATCTGGTGCAAGGTGTTGTTTTTGCAGTCTGTTTGATAGTATCATCTCCCACTTTGTCTAAAATCTGGTGCAAAGTGTTGTTTTGACAGTCTGTCTGATAGTATCATTTCCCACCCTGTCTCAGATTTTAGTGTAGGCTGAATGAATGCTGAATTTAGAATTGAAATGAAAACACATGTGACATTCCCATAAGCACTCTGATTTTATCTTCAGCAGTAGGTGCAGAGTTCCAAATCTGATGACACCAGTAACAAACATCCTTACAGCTTGAATGTTGAGCGACTGTCAGATGTCCTGATCACTCCTAGCAGCCCTATTCTCATCAGGCCGTGATCATCTGTTCATTTGCCTGATATAAATCAGGCTGTATTCAAAGGTTTATTATACATACCTTGCCTACATCCTCCTCATCGTCACTTTCTTGTCGCCACCCTGGTGCACTCTTGACAACCTCCTTGTCACGCAGAACAACGTTTTGCTGAAGTGTATACTGTTGTCGCTGCATTCGTTGAGCATATGTTTCTGGCAGCGGCACGTCGGCATACCCAGGTACTGTTGTGCCACTGACGTTATATATCTCACCAGTACCAATGATTCTGTCACTCTGTGCTTGTTTTATTATCTTCTGTTTGTTTCCGCCCTGCTTTGATTTGCCAATAGCCACTGGAATTTGTAAAATCGTGTCGATATCATCGTCGTCGAAATCAGAATCTTCGTCAAACTGTTGCGCTCTAGAACTTTCAGTGATGTTGTATCCACTAGTTTTTGTATCCTTTTTTATTCTATTTTCATGAAGCGATAATTTACTAGCACCTTCAGCGATTCGGCCTTGCTTTTCCTCTACACAATTGATGTCATAGTTATTATTATTTGTCGAATTTATTGCCGCCCTGTCCGTTGTCGGAGACGACAGTTCGGGTTTATTTACATTAGCAACCGGCTTTCGCGGGCTTAAATCAGGACTTTCTCTAGCGGCAAGACTCTTGGCTTTGCTGGAGCCAGATCCCATTGTGAAAATCAAAATCTGTACATCATACTAAACCACAGTCCAACAAATAACCAGGGAGACGGAAGAAATGGGCGGTCAGAAAGCACAGGGACAGAACTTCATGGAGACGGCCAGCAGACGTCAGGGGTATGTTGACTTCTGCTGGGGGAACAGTCGCAGCTTCTGGCTTATGTAGGGGGAGCAGCCTGTAATATTTTAGTCTAATCTATAGTAATACTTTTATGTTACATATAAAATGTTATTGTCTAAAAGCTGTGAATATTTTTTTTAAAGTAATACATTTAATTATAACAACGTTTTTGCTATTTGTGGTAACATTTCAAACAATTAATCCTTGTCCCCTGTCTTTGAATGTGATTCCGTAATGGAACAGCCCACAAGGGAAATCACACAACAGACTTCCGGTTGATGGCAGGAGCTGAGAGACCAGACATATGAGCTTGTTCTTAAGGTAGACACTGTCGACTCCACCGTCGTCACTCCAGCCGTCCTACCCCGGGTATATATCGTGTGTCTAGTTAGTTCTCCAACAGTCTGAGACACCGTGTCCGCATATAGGCCTAAGAATCAGTCACAGGAAGCAGCACCAAAGACAACAGGTTAGTTCTTTTCTTGAAAGATAAAATGGAGCAGAGTATCACTGACTCTATACTATACTATAATTCTATCAGTGTTCAGTGTTGTCTTTCTAAGATAGTATAACCAGTTAATAAAACTAACAGATTACTTGATAGACAATGATGACAAGGAGATCTTGCAGAGAGGTAGATGAGGCAGGGATAGCATTTCTCTAATTATGACAACAACAAACAAACCATCTGCGATGGAGAACCAACTAAATAGAACTGAATATTGATTGAATGTTAAATTAAGCACTCACGACAATCCTATAAGCGCTCCGTCCTCATCTTCAGCAGCAAGTGAAGAATTCCAGTTCTGATGGTACCAGTAACCGTCTGATTGTATATATCCATCTTTGCCATTTCCTTGAGTGTTGAGCGTAGACCAGATGCCCTGGTCACTCCTTGCAGTACCATTAGGCACTCCTTGCAGTACCATTAGGCACAGACCTTGATAATCTATTTGTGCCTCCACACTGTTCACTCGCTCCAAAAGGATCCTTACAACATCTAGCTTGTCATGCGCCAGTTCACTGCCGAGTGGCGCAGAACCAACCATTCTATCTGCCTGTTTGTTTCCCAGCACACTGGCATTTCCTTGAGAAATTATGCTTACCACCGAGGAACTCTGAAGCCATGCTTGCCATTCTTCATGAAGCATACCTGTCTTCACTTTTCTCAACATGCTCTGCAAGTCAGTTTTGGTCATGACATGTTGGTACAGCTGGTTCTCAAGTCACTGAAAGGCTGGAGTGACTGCCTCCACCTCCATTCTCAAACTATGTTGTTGTATCATATGCCAGGCTTTGTTGCACTAAGCGACATCCATTCACGTTTGCTATAAACACCCATGCACGTCATCTGCCTCTCAACATAGAGCCATCTATATAGATAATCATGTTACATGAAGAGGAATGTCATGAATCATTTTTTTTTAAAGTCCTGACTCTGCAGTGCCCGCAGGCAAGTCTCTGCATTCATGGCCTAACAGGATAGAACCCTACACAAGTCTGACTTTTGTTGGGATACTGTGACCCACTTCTCTCCTAGCCCAATATTATCAAGCCTGCACACATGTCTCTAATTGTGTCTTCAGCTTGTGCCATCCAAAACCTTCCACTTTTCAGTCTGTGACCCTTAGCTCTGTCTAGGGCATCATGCAGGAGCTGTTTCTCGTCTGTGGCTACTCTGAGACATGACTTTGCTTGCAACACTGAATAGAACAGATATAATGAAACCTCGCAGTATCTGAGCATCAGGTTTCAGAGGAGACATTGCTTAGTTATTGTCAGTTGTTAAATTTCAGTACAGTAAAAGATAGATGGTTAAAATAAAAGGTAACAAATAATTTGCAGGTTTGTAAGTATGATATTACACACCCATTTGTGTTGTATATGCAACTGGAATACAACTGTGGATAGGGTACACATGGGATGGCAGCTTAAGACTTAAACATTAGTTATTTCATTATCTGATAACTTAGTTAACAGATCTTCATTGCACATGGAACCATCAGACTATAAGTTCTCCCCAATGTATCCCTTATTGTGTTATGACATTTGAAACACCCGATTAACTTATCAGTGGTACATTTTGGCTTGCTATCACATGTAAGTATGACTTTGAAAAAAAATGTGTTGCATATCCTTTACAGGATGTTGCAGAACCAACCCCAGCATTTTGTAACTCTTTATGATTCCCCTAGACAATTTTATGTTCGTGTTATCAGCATGATACAGTCTGTCGCCAGATCGCATTTATCTAGTCTGGCAACTCGGAATTATGTAGCATGTTCATAATTACCAAGCTACAGATGCCAACAAATGTACCATTTACTAAACATAAATAACCCATCTAATAATAAAAGATAACCCCATAGAAGTTGTGCACAAATTAACGATGGTGTGTGAAGGTGTGCAGTGCTTGGTTCCCTCCCCCCCCACACCATGACTGGGGATTCCCAGCCTTCCCCGCCACAGATCAGATTTCACTAACAACTTCTGGTTTGCCTTCTATGTTTTTCCGCTTTTTGCGGAGGCTTGCTTGATCTAATAACCTCAGGATTAGATTAGGGAAAAGTGGCACAATGCTTCAAGGATTAGATTAGGGAAAAGTGGCACAATGCTTCAAGGATTAGATTAGGGAAAATTGGCACAATGCTTCAAGGATTAGATTAGGGAAAAAGTGGCACAATGCTTCAAGGATTAGATTAGGGAAAAGTGGCACAATGCTTCAAGGATTAGATTAGGGAAAAGTGGCACAATGCTTCAAGGATTAGATTAGGGAAAAGTGGCACAATGCTTCAAGGATTAGATTAGGGAAAAGTGGCACAATGCTTCAAGGATTAGATTAGGGAAAAGTGGCACAATGCTTCAAGGATTAGATTAGGGAAAAGTGGCACAATGCTTCAAGGATTAGATTAGGGAAAAGTGGCACAATGCTTTAAGGATTAGGTTAGGGAAAAGTGGCACAATGCTTCAAGGATTAGATTAGTGAAAAGGTGGCACAATGCTTCAAGGATTAGGTGTTTGTGTCAAGAGTCACCTTCATGCTGATACTTGAATATCCATAAATGTTTCAGTTCCCTCTCCTGCCATAGACCACACAAACAGAATCTCAACATAGTGGTTGAATACTGTAGCATTGACAAGGGTATTCTTTTGTCGTCTCACTGTTACCAGGTTGTAACCCAGTGTCATGGTTTTCTGTGTTTGTCTTGCACCTCTCGGGTGGCTGGAGTGGTGGATTTGTTTAACCTTTTGCAGGTTTCATCTACACCATCTGTCCATATCTTTCTTGGTCTTCCTCTCGCCTTTCCCCCAGATATTCTACTGTAAAAAGTCTCCTATGTAGTCTGGTCTGGCTGCATGACAAGAGTATTAATGTGTGTATAAAAAAGGTGTTTTTTATGGATACATGTTTTAATTGTGGATTGTAGTCAGGAAAGCATCTGTTTGGACTGCTCTTGTAGATTTGTATCTGATGTTTGGACTGCTCTGGTAGATTTGTATCTGATGTTTGGACTGCTCTTGTAGATTTGTATCTGATGTTTGGACTGCTCTTGTAGATTTGTATCTGCTGTTTGGACTGCTCTTGTAGATTTGTATTTGATGCTCTTGTTTTGTAGACTGCTCTTGTAGATTTGTATCTGATGTTTGGACTGCTCTTGTAGATGTGTATCTGCTGTTTGGACTGCTCTTGTAGATTTGTATCTGCTGTTTGGACTGCTCTTGTAGATTTGTATCTGATGTTTGGACTGCTCTTGTAGATTTGTATCTGCTAGGGGAAGTTGTAACATCTGCCATGCTTTAAATCCTTATATCTTTCTTCTTTTCAATCTCCCTGCCAGTGGTTTTCTGAGAAGACCACAGGCCTCAATGAAGTCTGGTGGGATGCATGTTCTCCGCTGTTCTATACAGCTTGGTTTTCACTGGAATACAACAGCCGGCCAGACCTGGGATCTTTCTACTCCATGTAGGGAGCATGACTAGCAGAGGTTGAGTATTCTCTTCTGCCTGTCCACATGGACACAGTTCTCAATCCCCGGTCTTGAGTTTCTGGTACATATGGCTGCAGCAGTCTGTAGTGTCCAGTACACAATGTAATTATAATGGTCTGTTTCTAATCTGAAGGCTAGATTTCTGATTGACTACTTCAAAACCAGGAGGAAAGTAATACCCTTTCCTTTGGGTTCCAGTTGATTCTCAATGTTCTATTAAGGCTGGGATGGTCAGAAGTCACACCCACTCCACAATCTTCCCTCCTCATGGCACTGGGTTGTACAGCATTTCCTGACATAAAGGCTCCCAAGGAAAGGGGCATAGAAAGGTATCAGTAAGATTGCTTGAATACAGGCTATAGCATTGGTGATCGTCGCTGAGGTTATTTTATGAACCAGATAAATTTGCAATTATTGAATATGATTTCAACTCCCAACATAGAAAGATCAGGCAATACACTTGCGGTGATCCGCGGGCCACTTGCCTTCGCGGGCCACTGCAGTGCCTTCGCGGGCCACTGGTCGCCAGTTGAATAGCCCTGGTCTAAACAGTACAGTGTAGACTCTGAGTTATGAACACATCGATGAAAGAAAAGCGAGGGAATCGAATGAGTTAGATTTACAGAATAGACTACACACACAGACACACGCGCGAACGACTTAGATTTACAGAACAGACTACACACACACGCGAACGACTTAGATTTACAGAACAGACTACACACACGCGCGAATGACTTAGATTTACAGAACAGACTACACACACACGCGAATGACTTAGATTTACAGAACAGACTACACACACACGCGAATGACTTAGATTTACAGAATAGACTACACACACAGACACGGGCTTACACATTGTGATAACCATCAGCAGC